GATGGTTTTGGTAGATTAGCTGCCATGTGTGTTCTGGTTTCCTCTAAAAGTGCACAGATCTCAGTAAAGTGTTGCTGATATGCATGGAATAAATTTACATAATAACCCCCTGAAAATTATAGAGAAGGAAGAAAGAAGGAAGAGGGGAGAAAAAGTATGTTGCAGAGGTTTGGGGCTTGAAATATAAAGGAGTTGTTGCTGCACAACTCAGGTTTCAAGTAGCTGTGTCTAATTCATTCCAGCAGGTAAAATTGGAGTATGACACTGCTGAAGTGCTGTGTTCACAGAGGGATAAACATGGCAGTTTACCTGATTTTTTGAAGTTATGTTGTTTGTAACTTGACATATGAAGAAATCTGAGATGTCTGTTTAGATTTTAACACTCTTAATGTAACTAAAAATGTCCTAAAGGCTCAGCACTTACACCCACGGAGGTTTGCATAGCGCAGGCATGATACGGAACAGTTTCAAATTTCACTAGACAAAAAACACTCAAAAAAACCAAGACTAGCATGTGAACTTCTGTGTTAAAGAAACTGCCTGCACACTGAATACTGATGTTTATTCTAGCAGATTGATCTCTCTCACGCATAATATTTTCGTATCTTCGTATCAACTAAATATGTTTCCATTTTATTCATTTTATACATCTTTCTCTTCCTATGACAGAATGGAGGATGGGTTGCCATGCCTGCCTTTTCAGTAAGACCAGATAACATTAAAGACATGTCCCTGCAAGGCAGGTTCAGTAAAAGCATGCCCCCAAAGCCAAACCGAATCTGTGNAAATTAACTCCCCAAGATTTTGTTGATCTGTTGTGATCAGTCTGTGGTTAACTGAGATGGCCTTTCAGGATGCTGTGTGCAGCTTTTCACATTTTTTCTATCCTGGGTTTAAACTGCTTATATTTAAAAAAAAAAATGCATGCCAGTAGACATGCTTTACGTTGTTAATAGGCAGCTTGAATATTTGAGTAAGCAAGTTGCCTTGAAAACTGAGCTTAACTCACAGAAAAAACAGGTGCGAACATAAAAAATAAAAATCTGTGATGAATCCCCCCCCAACTCCACTTTATTTTGTTTTCTTATTTTCATTGTGATGCAGCTAAAAAAAATAAAGGAGAGATATATAATTTACATAGAGGAAAATATTGTGTGTGTTTAAACCAGGTATTATTTTTTTGCCACGGTCCTTAAGAGAGTGGTGCAGATACACCTGATGTCCTGAGAACTGGCTTTTGTAGTGAAATCGGGTTTGTAAATTGGGTAGCATTGCAAGAATACATAGCTCCTAAATGAGTAGGTTGTAAAACTTTGGAAGAGAGAAGAACCTACAACTTCATTTATGAAGTGTCATGTGATACTGAATCATCTTTAACACCAGTATTTTTTGAAGTTTGTGAGGTTTTTTATCTTTTTGGATCTGCATGGTGCCAGAGAGATAAAGGCAGGGACAGTAGTTATTTCCTTTCTGCAAAGATGTTTATGCTATAAGGTAAAAGACCTTAAAAAATGTTACTTTAGTATAAAGCTATTCAAAATATTCAGATTTATTTTGCAGTATGCAAAATTTTGCAGTATGCAGTTTGCGTGGGTTGGAGGGGACCTTAAAGATCATCTTGTTCCAACTCCCCTGCCATGGGCAGGGACACCTTCCACTATCCCAGGTTGCTCCCCAAGCCCCATCCAACCTGGCCTTGAACACTTCCAGGGATGGGGCAGCCACAGCTTCTCTGGGCAGCCTGTTCCAGTGCCTCACCACCCTCACAGGGAAGGAATAGTGTATAACTCTACAATTATTGTTATGTTTTATATTAATATTTATCTCTAAAGTAATTGGAAGTTGACCAAATACATTTTTGTTTACTGAAGAACACCTTTCCCTCAGCCAAATATAGTGAAAGTGTTAAAAATGTATAAGAAAATCATTATGGAGTGAATTAGCATTTGAACTCTAAAATCTTTCCTTAGACATTATAATTGTGCAAATGTTACATCAATTATTGTGTGTATTGTATGCGTATTATTATGTATAAATGCTATTTGAGAAGTTGTCATTAGTGTTTTAACCACTTCAGTATGGGAATAGAATCAATTATGCTGCTTTAGCATTTCACTTAAGGAGAAAATTGTTGTCTTTACTCTTGGCTAAGTTATTCTTGAATTTAATAATGCAATAGTCAGTCTGATCCATTTTTCACCTAGGAAAAGGGAGCGGAAGCTTGTCTTTATTTTCCATGTATATTCAGTGTTGTACTCATGGGAATTGTATATCCAAAAATAAGACTATAAATAAGAAATCAGTAGTCTTTTCTGTCTTGCTGCTTTATGTGGGTTTGATATATGCTTTTGCAGCATTATTACTTACTCTGTTCAAATCAATGCTCTGAGCTTTCCTTTAGGTGATTGATTTCCTCCAGATTAGCCTACGAAGTACGTGATTTAATAAACACTGCTGTTACCTGTTTGCTAACACACAGATGTCTGCAGTCTTACAGACAGAGATACTGTAAAATTTCCAAAAGGGCTTCAGTCAGTCATAAGATTTTGATGGTACAACATTATTTGAATAGGAAAGAGAAAACAGCTTTGGTCTTACATAGTTGAAAGCAAACTAAAATCACTTGGAAGAAATAGAAATAAGACAAGAACTTACAAATACGAAGCCAGACTCTGTAGGAGATAATGATGAAAGTAAAGATACTTATTAGGGTATTGTCCTCTTTAATGCTACTTTTCTGCTTTAGAAAAGAATCATTTTTTCCATACTTCTGTTTTTTTAAACATTGCAGTAACAGATTGTAAAGTATCAGTAGAAATGTGTAACTGTTGATGTCCCTCCCTAAAATATATCTGAATATGCATTTGCATTACCAAGTTTTTGCAGAAATGGGGTGTCAAGGAAGAATTTGAGTGGTTTGTGTGATACAGTGCTATTTAGGGTTCAATGGCTTTGGGCTCCATGTAGAATACCTACATGGTATTTTATTAGGATGTTATTTCATAGCATTGCTTATCCACAGCAACTGACAGAGTGTGAATGTTCTGGGCAACTCTATCTTGAAAGAATTCCGTGCAGGACAAGGAAGGATTTTGTATGGCATTTGGACATTTAAAACAGATTTTTTACAGTTGCTCATGGCTGGGTTATATGGACCTGGTTTAGATACAGTTTGGTACAGGTTTCTGTTTGCCCTCACGGTTTTATTTTTTTGTATTTCCGTAATACCTCTTTGATATCTGGAAGACCAATGTTTTCTAATGCTTTCCAACCCAGACACTTTCAGGTATAATCACTGTTAGAAAATGTAATGGCCTTCAAGCACTGTTGGCCTGTGCAGTTGGGAAGTTTGGAGAAAGGTTTCATGAGAGGTTAATGTGTAGTATTTTAACACAGATGTCCAAACACAGTATTTTTCATCTTTAAGTTCACTCTTAGTTCTTTGTTATTCCTGATAATGGCCTGACATAACATTATTCCTCCCTGGGTTTTTTTTGCTGTATATATGGTAGGCGTTTTTTTTCTTCATGCCTTTTTCAGTATTGTATTCTCTGAGGGTAAATCTCAATAGCTTCACAGTATGTCTTTGCTCGGATGGAGGCTGCAGTCTGATACACAGCATGTTCCTTCAGTCTCTATACCTGAACTAGTCTGTGGCCAGGTCATTTCTTTAATGCTTTCTGGGAAATATTGTGGGGTTCTATTAATCTTTCTCCAGGAAACTTGTATTTCTGATATTACCCTGCTTTCATCTGCTTTCCTGGGAGATGGTTTTCCTTTTCAATTGCTGTACTATTGTTTTTAATATTACTAAGGCTTGTTGCTTTTCCTGCTGCTTTCTATTGTAGAATTAAAATGCTTCTTTTGACACAGAAACTATCATATTGCTTTTGAAGGATAGATATTATTCTTGCTCCCCCAACACCTTGGGAAGTATTGTGCCATATGATTCTATTCAGTCCACATTTTTATCAACATGGTCACCATCACCTGCAGCCATCATTCCATTTAAAGCACAGCCTTACGGGTATTTTTTCCCTTTTTGCAATATCCAGATATGAAGAAGATGAATGAAAGTTTCTTGCATGTTTTTGTCAGTGTGTTTTTACAGCTGCCATGAACAGTGATGGACTTGGCAGCCTAGAGACTGAAATCCTCTGTTTAATCACAGGCTGGGTATAGTTCAGCAGAAAGATGTATTTCTATACACAGCCCCTGTAGCATGTCTAAGCCTCGAGCTGGAGAGTCAACCTTCTAATAAGTGGAAAAAAGCTCTCAGGCCAGTCAGTCCCTGGCCTCATCTGTGGAACTGTTGAAAAAGAAGCATTTATGCCATTGAGCTTTGTGACAGGTGCTGACATCTAGTCTGGAGTGGACTGAGAGTTCTCTTTCATTCATTTGGGAATGCCTTTCTGTAATTTACTGTAACTCACTACACAGTGTAGTGTTCTCTCCAGTTTGGAAGCTGTACATCTGTGTGCATTGAGTTGTCACATAACACTTCAAAAGGCAGTGGGTTTTCAGGTCAGCTTGCATTTAACCCTGGGCTTGATCTCCAAATCCTTAATGCCTGTGATCATTTATTTTATTTTAGTTGTGTAAACTCTCAAAATCCAATAGCTAAAACCAGAAAACTGGTTTTAAACCAGTAAAACAATAAACCTCATTCCTATGTTTAGAGTATTGAGACATTTTATTTGAAAACAAAGGAAAACTAAGGCCCTTCAGAGACTCCTGCAACATCCTGGGTCCACAGAAGACATATTGCACAGAATTCTTGTGTGTGGTCATAAATTGTAATCTCTGAACATTTTGTAATGCTGTGTTAGACAGGAAATGGTCCTGGTCACATTCCTATTCACAAAGATGTGTTAATGGGGATTTATTAATTTTTCTCTAAAAATCCAAGGTAATGCAAGTATGTGCTATGCCAAAAGAAGTGCTGGCTATTAAATCTGGTAGAAATAATTTGACTTGTTTGGGTTTTTTGTATTTTTCAGCTAACAGGACAAGTGACTTTGAAAATTGCCAATGAACCAGTTTTGCCGTTTAATGCCCTCGACATCGCGTTAGAAGTTCAGAACAGTCTCAAAGGTAATTTTCTTTAGAGGAGTATTGTTCTCCATTAATTCAGGAGAAAAAAAGAATCATCTAATCCCTAATATGTATTGTCAATTTTCACTTCAATGATAGCCAGTGATTTTACCAGTTAAACAGTGTCATTATATAGTGTTAAATAAAATGTGGGTTTTGTTGCTAAATAAATCTATAAAATATTTATATTTCTTCTGATGTTACTTTGTCAATTAAGCAATAATTAGTACTAAAATGTCCTAATTACAGTCAACAATAACAAACTTTGTGACTGAACTTGATTTTAATTCCTTTCAAGGCTTTATTCAGTACAAACGAGGCCTTCTAATCCCATTATCGTTTGGTTCCTTAATTTTCACAGTCATCTTCCTTGCTTGTTTATTCCACTAACTCACCTTGTTGCAGAGCATGCTAACTTCTCTCTTTTTTCAGGTGTGACAAAGCAAGATAATTTACCAATACATATTGTTGGAACTGTCTAAGCCCTGATACCCTGCAAGCTCCATATTTGACATCAGCATGTTTGGGACAATGGGTTGGGATTAGGGAGACGGAGGAGAAAGTTCCTAGTCAGAAAGTAAAGAGGAGTCGCTGGTAACTAGGAAATTGTGCAGAGATAATTCTTGTAGACTCTGGGTTTGGCACTGTTTGCTAGATATAGGATGAATGCCTTGATATGAGACCTCTGCATCGAGACTGGGGTGCCATTACAAATATTCCTGTGTTGCCTTCTTGATTAAAGAACAGACATTCTGCAGTCTCTTTGTCCTGTGTCGACAACAGAACCCAATCAAGCCAGTAGCCCTTGAGCAGAGCTGTTTAAGGTAACCCAGTTACAGGGGGCAGTTGTGCATTCCCTTTGCTTATGGGGGCTGCTCTTTGTTTGTTATTTTTCTTTTCCCCTCTCTACAAGTAGTAGAAAAATATTAATATGTTATAGGGAACTAAACCCATATTATGTTACTGAGATATTCTCTGGTGGTGTCTAGACTACAAAAGAGCAAAATGCTGCCTTCTTATCAATTATGAAAAGAATATTCCTTAGCTCCAGTCCTGAAGTCTAAGGAGGGAGAGAAAGTCTAGTTTTTAATGCTGTCTAGTCTCACTCATCCATATAAACTTTCTCCTTCAGTATTATCTGTCTTCCTCCTTCCATGCAGTCCCTTTTCCCTCGCAGATTCCTCATATTCTAGTGTATTCAAATGAGATCCAACTCTCTTTCCTTTTCTAAATGACTATGCTGGTTGTGGAGAGCACATAAGAAGCTTAGTCCTTGAAGAATAATAAATCTTTTGATAATTTAGCTGCCACTTTCTAGAGCATTCCTTGAATGTGTACAAAATGAGTTATTTTAGAAGCTGGTTTTCTGGTCAGAATTCACTGAACTGAAATTGTGAAAAGTACATCCCTGACAAGAATCCACATGAAATTTAAAAGACTGCTCCAAAGCATTGTCTTGTTAGGACCTCACAGTGGGAAAATGTGAGATAGGTTGTTATTTCCTGGTCTCCAATTATGTCTCTGGTACAGATTACCTGTAGTATCCTAAGGCCTTTCAAAAATATTTTTATTTATATGTTTATGGAAATCTTAAGTTGGCCTGTTAAATAAAGATGTAAGTTCTACAAAATCACACTCAAACTATACATATACTGTAGCAGAATGTGAGATTGTATCTCAAACATAAAGACTTCTTGCAATCTTGAGGTGCTGCCCCTGCATTTCATTCACTCCCTACACTATAAAGCACCACTTTTCTGTAATACACAGTCATAGAAGTATGATACCTTTTCTTTAATCTTTACCATCCATCATTGTCAAGACCTAGGAGTCAGTAGGCAAGTATTGGTCTGGAATCAGTGAGCATCTAAAAAGACAAGTAATTTTAGCTCTGTTGAGCCACATAAACATTGGTTTAGTTCAGCTTAAACACAGCAGGGAATGATCATCAAATGAAAAGTGTGGCTCAGCTGGTATTCCTTCAACTGAACATGAGATGTCTGCTATTGTTCTTCCTTTTTTCTTTATTTTGAGTAACAGGAAATGTTGATTTAAACTGACATTTTCCTCTAACTTCAGTTAGATCATTTATCTCTACCACTTCAGGGGAGGGGAGATTATTTCCTAGGCTGTAGGGCCAGGAGAATAAGTCTTCTCTCAGCTGTTCACTTTGGAGTTTTGTTTAATGATTTTTCTTATGACTTTCATGTCTTGTCTATCTTCAACTTGTGTCAAATAACAGTTTATTATCATTTTGGAAAACATTAATACAATAGTCTTTTTTCTGGTTACTTGAATGAGTTACTTGAATGTACTTTTTAACATGGCTCATGGGTTTCTTCATTCTTCAGAAGATTTTATGTTGTGTGAAATTTCCAGTTGAAAGTGGCATTGTCTTAGTAAACTGTTTCCTTCCCCAAATCAATGCAAACTGTAAATGTAGAAAAGGTGAAGGTAAATCTGCATGACATAGATTTGCTCATTAGGCTTAATTTTGTGCCTCTGGGATTTGATTCAGCCAGTCCCTTTAACACCCATTTTATTGCCCATTGGACTTTCTCACATACTTAAAGTTAAATCATATGTATAAATACTTGAGTCAGTGTTTTGCAGTCTCCTCGATGCACTCAAAAAAAATTGTGTATACCTTTGTATTTGCTAATAGTGCATTTATTTATGTTTGTAAAGGATTTAACTCTGTAATGTGGTGGATGTATCTCTGTTATATTCCCTGGGATATTACTCAGCACTTTACAAACTATTTCTTACATCCAGGATAGTCTGGATAGCAAGTTATGTCATCCACAGCGTGTTCACATCTGGCTCATGGCCTGTACCTCAGAAAGATGGGAAAAAGGCTGTTAAGTGACATGTGTTATCTCCATTTGCACACACCAGAACTCTTGGAAACAAGCTACTGCTTTTGGGTTTATCTGAAAGGAAGGGTTGTGACTGGAGAGACATTTCATTTTGTGCATCTGCTGATGGTCTGATGTTTAACAGAAAACCTCATGGTCATAAATGATAGGAGATGGTTTCCAAGACTGAAATCCAGGTCCCCAGGGCTACTCAGGCTGTTGTCTGTCTAATCACAGATGTGATTTTTTAGACAAATTCATAAATAGGTGACAGCTTCAAATATTCTCATTAACTACACCTTGCAGTTGTGTGGAACTTGTGCCTTCTGTGTGTTTAAAATTAAGACTCACTGCAAGTTGAATCAAGTACAAGATTTAATACTCTCTAAAATTTAGTGTATGTTGCAGGAAGTTTCAGGGATTGATGATGGAGGTGCTCAGGTGTCTCATTAGGATTAAAAGCTTTTCTGTACCTTTGCACCTGACTGTCTCAGCAATAAGAAGTTCAATCACACAGTTTATAAAAATAAAGGCAGCCAGTTTGATGCTGACCATGTCCCTTGCTTGGGTGTTGTAGAAGCAGATGCCATTTATTATTCCCAGTCACTTGGGCACACCTAGACTCGTGCAGACCTTCCAAAAATTGGTGTCTGTGCTGCAGCCCCATGGCTGTGCAGCACTAGGCAGGCAAGGTAATATTCCCCAGTTGTGTCTGTCAGCACAGGCTGGTGAAGCTGGTCAGCAAATTGTAGCCATCTCTGATAGGCAATGGCTGAGACAGAGAGAGGCTTGTGGAGACAAATTGTGTGGATGAGATTTTCTGGTTTTCCCTGTATGGGAAGTGCAATAGCTGTGCTTTAAAGCTCTTTGGCTGATGCAGTGTCAATTGTGTGTGGCTTTCTATCAATTAGGTCCCCAGAATGGATGTCATACAGATGTTACAGCAGCTGAAGTACTTGGGGTGACAATAGTAGGCAGTGCTAGCAGAAGTTTAAAAATAATCTGGTTTATGATAAGCCATTTCCAGGAAAGTATGCGTGACTTTCCACAGCCTTGATTCAACCCATACATTTCAAAACATCAGGCTAAACTCTTTGTCCTTAGAAAAATCAATACAAAAACATATCTCTCTAATTTACTTGATGGCTGCATGCTCATTGCCTACAGCTATCTGCTAGTCTTCAGCTTGGTGTCATTTTGTCTGCTTGACTGTATTTCCCTGATCATTTCGGGTGCTTTTCAGAGTTAATTTCTCCACCCGTCTGTCATGTTCAGAAAGTTTCCCTTTTTACTGTTTCCACCCATTATTCTTGACTGCTACAGAGGGGAAAAAAGCAAAACTTGATTATCTGTATGTATGACAGAAATACCTCCTTTGCCATGAGACATTGACATCTTGTCTTCAATATCCTTTCAAGGCTAGTATATATTAGTACCTTTCATCAGCCTTTAAAAAAAAAAATCATGGAAAAATGCATTTTCCATGGACAAAACATTTGATACTGAAGGGAAAGGATGAGCAGCTAATCTGTCTGTAGGCCATGTAAGTTCAGCAGCTCTGTACAAAGTCATGGATAGCTTAATAGAATCATGGAATAGTTTGTGTTGGAAAGGACCTTTTAAAGACCATCTAGTCCAACCCCCCTGCAATGAGCAGGGACATCTTGAATGTTTCCATGGATGGGGAACCCACCACCTCTTCAGGAAACCTGTACTAGTGTTTCACAATCTCATTGAAAAAAGTTTCTTCCTTACACCTAGTCTAAATCTAATCTTTATTTTAACACCTTTACCCCTTGTCCTATTACAACAACCCCTACTAAAAAAGTTTTTTCCCATCTTTCTTACAAAGCCCCCTTTAAGTATTGAAAGAGCACAATAAAGTGTCTCTGGAGCCTCCTCTTCCCCAGGCTGCTCCTGTACTGACATGCATGTAGTGATATGTCACAACACGCCTCTTTAGTGGTAGCCTCTTTGAAAAGAGTCTTCCTGTAGCAACACCAGATTAGTTTGCTTGGGCAATTGCAGTCATGGTAGCAAAATTGAAGCTGATGGGAACATATTCTTTGCACTGAGGATGTCTGTGGATTTGTGTTTCTGCCCCTTTAGGGTGCTTCCTACAAAGCATTCCCATTCAGATTTTCTACTGCCTGGTCTGATCATCCTATTTTTGCACAGCATGAAAAATCTGCCTAGTGAATACAGCAGCACACCATAGCTGATCCTGAATTTGCAAACTAATCAAAACCTGAAGCAATTTCCCTTCTCTCTTACATGCAAACACATGTTCACATGCATGGTGAGCAAGCATAACTTAAGCATAACTGCTGATTTGTCTGTGCTTACTCTCCTGTAGGTACTTGTAGGCAAGTACATTCATAACAGAGGGCACAAGCACAATTTAAAAATGTTGACTCTCTAGCAGTTCTTTTCATAAGAGCAGTCAGTTACATGGGGAAAGGCTGTTGTATTCAATGTCTGTAAACATAAATATCTATTTGGTGTAACCTGTTTCTGAGTAGAATCCAGTTACATTTAGCAAGTGTAATGAGATTCAACAATGTAATTCTCTGATCAAGAGTACATATGCTCTTGAGTCACTTTCTTGTACTTGCGATTTTATTTTTATAGCAACTAAACAGCTAGCTTAGATGATTCATCATGAATCATACTGAAGACAAAAGGACAAAGAATACAAAATATAATAACGTGGCATTGTTTTCTCTTGAGTGAAGTGATACTTGTGCTTGATTTTCTCTGTAAAAGCATCACAAGATGTTTAAGCCACCTTTAGTTAATACATCCTTCTCTTGAAGGATCATTTGCCCTTCTAACTCCCAGCTTCTCAACTTGAAACAAGTATAAATCACAGCTTCCCTAGGCAGTGAAGTTCCGTGTGTTGTGATGCCCATTCTGTCCTTGGTTTGCTGGGGTAACACTGGCCATAGACACTTGCAGGTTTTGTACTGAAGTATTAAAGAGGGGCCTGGGTGTGTGTTTTCTGAGATCTGATTTAGAGTGTGTGGTAAACAGTGCTTCTTACTTATGAGTGTAAACAAAAATGTAGTTGGTTTAGGTGCCAAATGCTGTGGAGAATGAGTGGGAGCATGTACAGGATTTTTATGTTTGAAAGGGTGGTCTAGTTGGCTTCATTTCCAAATATGGAATGATGGATTTTCCCTTTATCTCACCTTCCCTATTGAAAAGGCAAAGCTGACATTTGCAATTGTTTAAAAATTATAAATGTTTTCTGTTACTTGGAATACAAAGTGCTTTGCTGAAACCAAAGGATTCTTTCTAACAGGGTGAATTTAAGTATTTCCATATGGACAGAAGTCCCGGGGTAAGGTATGCACAGTGCCTACATTACATACCTGGGAATAGCAAGTTCTTCAGCTGCACGGGATGTTTGCCAGAGATTTGAAAATTAAGGATAATGATATTTTGCAAAATATCACAAGTGTACCAAGTTTATATACTTGGAGAATATTTTTCTGATGCATCAACCTAACTTGATCAGAATTTAAATTACTCCAGACTCAATCAGAAAGATACCAGTCCCATCCATCAAGATACCAGAGTGCCTGTTATCCATTCTAATTAGGGAAAGGTGGCTTGGTCAAGTGCCATTAAGAAAAGAACCTTGTCTCAAACCAGGGCAGACATAAACCATCTTCTCTCACTCCTGTTCTCACAGGGAGCTCCTGTTCATTGTTGAAATTTGTCTTGATAGCTCAGAAAATTTGACAGTTTCTCTCATGCCAGCATCTGTCTCTCCCTGTATTTTGGATCATTTCTTGTTTTGCTGGATTGGAATGTGCTAGCTGAATGGTAGGAGTACATGGGGATCCATGAACTCCTTTTCATTTACTGGAATTTGTCCAGTAGCAAATCTCTTTTTCCATCTGAGAGGGACAGTATATTATATTCAGGCATTTCTTTGATTTCTTCATTATACCTGTTTGCTTTTCCGTTCCTATTATGTGCTCACCTTTCAGACTCCATCCATAAATAATTTGAGAAATGGGTTGATGTTTCTCCTGATTTTGACAAAGGTAGAGTTAATTTTCTTCCTAGTAGCTGGTACAGTGCTGTGTTTTGGGTTTAATGTGAGATTAAGGTTGATAACTCATGGATGTTTTAATTGTTCCTTAGCAGTGCTTACCCTGAGGATGTTCCACTTTCCGTGCTCTGCCATTAAGGAGGTTTACAGGAAGCTGGGAGGGAACATGGCCAGGACAACTGACCCAAATTGTCCAAAGAGATATTCCATACCATAGAACATCATGCCCAATCTATAAATTGCAGGGAGTTGACCTGGGGGGCTGATTGCTCCTGTGGGCCCTGCTGAACATGCTCAGCAGGTGATGAGCAGTTGTACTGTGCATCACTTACCTGTCTTGAGTTTTATTCCTCTCGCTCTTTCTCCCTTTTCAATGCTGTATTATTATTGTTGTTGTTGTGTTTGGTTGGTTGGTTGTTTTTAAACTGCCCTAATCTCAGCCCATGCATTTTACCTTTCTGGTTTTTAAATTATTCTCCCAATTCCATCAGGGAAGCGGGAAGGTGTGAGTAAGCAGCTTCATGGCATTTACTGATTTTAAACCATATCAGTGTTCTCAAATTAATATTTTTGATTTCTCCATGTATCTATTAGACAGGGAAGTTTAACATTCATTTAACTTGAACCACTTTCTTGTCTTAATCATCTCAGTCACTAAGATAATGAACTCACTGACATTTTTACATTCAGCTTCTAAAGCTGCATGATTTATGTTGATGAAAATATCATTTGAAAGATTTAAGGATAGTTGGTTTTCTTGTCAATAGGCAAAGTGAATTTTGGCCTTAGGATAATTTCTGCATCCTGGAAATGTTTATGGTGACTGATATTACTTTTGACTTTATATCAGGTTCAGACTCTGCTTTTTTTCTCCATGTGCTTGTAAAAATGAAAGCAGTCTATGCACACACTGGGAAAGGAGGCCATGCTCTCCACCTGCACTGCAGGTGGGAATAGACTACACATTCACAATGTTCCAGTTCACATTTCACATTCCTCTATCTGGACTATGACCTGGGAAATATTGAGATCAAAGTGTGCTCTGAAGGGCTGCGAGCTTTTATTCTTTTGGTGTCTGTGTAGGATTGCTAACAAAGCAATAGTTAACACTCCATATTTAAAAAGTTTTGAAAATACTGACTGGATTGGAATATACATTTGGATATCAATTAAACTTTGCTCATTGGCATATAATTTAAGTGATTAAGAGGAACAGTTTCAATCCCCTCTACAACTGTTGTTAACCTCTAGGATTCTAAAACATTCAATCAAATTCAATTAAACTGCATATTACAATTTTCTATACAGCAGTCATTATGGAATGACTTTCATGGAAGGCTTTCAAACTGTTACAGCAGTAACATCAAATGGCATTGAGTAAATGCTGTCTTGGAAGGAAATGATATAGTTCCTGATTTATAACCGTTGCTTCCTGCGGGCCTGTTTTTCCGATGCTAGACTTCAATCTGTACCCCAAAATCATTCCTCACAGCTTATTAGATCTTAAAACATCAGAGCCCAAATTGATCTTTGAAAAAAGGATCAGAGGTTATACAGAATAATCTATGGCTTTTCTTGATCCATCACAAACCCCTCAAGGGAAAAGAGGCTCAGGTTTTAATTGGACTATTCATTTTGGCTTATAAGCAAGAATAATAAGTGGTGTTCTCTGAATCACTGGCAACTGTCTTGCTCTTGCTGTTCCTAGGTGATGAAGTAGGCGTTCCTCAGTTGCTTGCAGTGGCCTCACGTCTGAGGGACACGGCCGAGCTGTTCCAGTCGGACGAGATGCGCCCGGCCAACGACCCCAAGGAGCGAGCTCCTGTCAGAGTCAGGATGCTCAATGATGTGCTACAAAGCTTGGAGAAAAGCTTCCTGGTTCATCAAGCTCCTCCAGGACTTTACAGGTGGGGTGTCCCATGCGTTCTTTACTTGAGCTAAAATGGTTTTCAGTGTTGCTTGGTTTGCAAAACTGTCATAGTTTAAAAAAAAAACCCAAACCTCAGTGAGTATCTGAGATTAAAGCTATTTTTTCCTATCACATCCTCTCTGCAGAAAACATTAATTCATTACAATACAAGGGGTCATTAGAATGCAGCACTGTAGCATTTCTGTCATGACATCTTTGCTAACAAGATGTACTGTGTGATGGCAGCCCAGGCAGCATGACAGATACGTGTGTTAGGCGCTACAGTAAGCTTCCAGAAGAAGAAAATATTTTGAAGTCTAATACTGCTTGACAAGCTCCACCTATATTTTATTTAAAACTTTTTACAGTTCATTGAAGATCTAGAATTATACAAGATACTCTGTAGCATTATTTAACATATTTAATTATATAGCAGCCTTCTTGGATGCATTTCAACCAGTCAAAGGCAGTACCATGCAGTGAATGAGGAGGCCTTAGTCAGTCACTATTCATAATGGCTTTTCTGTGGTTGGAGTTAATCTCTGATATAGGTTCAGCTGCACTACCCAGGTTGATTTTAAGACATCGTAGTCATTCCATCTTTTACTGTCTAAGAAGAAAGACGTCAGTTCTGTATCTCTCACCATCGATTCCTCTACAAAGAAAAAAAAAAAACGAACTTACAACGATCAGTAGCTTAAAAAAAGTTTGAAAAACAAGAATTGGCCAAGCATGCCCTGAGCAATGCCTGGTGCTCTGGCTCCTCAGGAGCAGTCATGATGTGTGTCCGTGTGCTTCAGTACAAACTGTCTGAGCGCTGCAGCCCATCAGTGTGGAGTTTCATGGCTTGACCCCAAGGGCATGTTCTGAGTGCCCTGGGCTACACAGGAGGCAGTGTGGGCTGTCTGACTTCACCAGGCCTGCTGGGATAATTTTGAAGGACTCTGCAGCTGAAGATACCCAAAGGCTCATCCACGCTGCTCGTTAGGGGGCATTCCCAGGTAAAACTGTCCCTAAAGCCATATTCAGGTTTTACTTTAGGGAAAACTGGTTTGCATGCTCAAAAAATAGAGCTTGGAAGGCAACACAGATATACAGGAGACAGACCAGAGTCAGGACATAAAAGTGAATGAGGTATCTGTGTTATTTTGGCATATAAATGCACTTGCAACCAGAACTAACTGAAGTAACAGAACAGTTCTTTGTTTCAGTTGATGGGAAAAATTATCAAAAATCTCAGTGCAAGTGATTGTGTCAAGTAGACATAAAACAGACACATGGTAGAAGTAGAGATTCTTCCAAGCATTAGGAATGGCATAAAACAAGTGCAGTCATCTTTTAACAGAAGCAAAGGGAAAAAATAAGAAAGGTAGTTGTGGGGAACTCAGCAATGTCAGTGAATTAAAAAAAAAACCCTACAGCTATAATAAGGAAAATATAATAATTACATTTGGGGAGGGGCTAATTTACTTCCTTCCTGCTGTGACTGGATTTATAACATAAAGAAATAAAACTAAATGTCATTAAATAAAGTCTCATATTCCAGCTTTAGCACTGCTGTCTGTCTTGTCTGAACTGGTATGGTGTTGCAAAGGAGCCATAAAACTGCTTACTATAATGTAATGTGTCTGTGTTGCATTGCAAGGGCACATAGTTGGATCTGGCCCAGTTCTTTACTCGTAAAAATAAATTATGCCAAAACTTAGGATTCCAATAAGAGGGGTTTTTAAGTCTTCTAATATTTGAATTCTTGCACTGTTTGCAGTATTAGGTTTGTTATTTATCAAAATGTAGTTGCTAGTTATGCAGGTAGAATGTGACTTAAATTTATCCCCTGCTCTTCACAGTACTTCGGTGCAGAGCAGAAATACTTTCCCAGTTGGCAGTGTGGAAGTGAAAATTTTGTATTTGTTCCCCTCCTGATTTAATTACATTTGATACAAGATTTAACAGTAGACAATAAGGTTGCTTCAAAGTTTGGGAGAAAACATTGACTTTGACCTGACTCTGAATAATTTTACCAAATGTCATCTGGAATATATAACAGTAAAGGACACCTTGTATATCATCATTTAGATACTCATTTAAAAAGAATACACTGTTTATACTGTGCCAAGGTGTGTAATTGTTACCTTTAATGGAAAATCTACACAGATAAAAAAGTCAAGGACAATGTTAGGTTCCTCATTTCCTTTCTTGCCATCAAAAATCTACAGTACAGTTTCTTAATTAAAGGGGGAAAACAACATCTAAACATATGTCTTTATTTGGATTATCTTTCGCTTTTTAGGGATCGAAAGTCTTTCTATTAATTGATGGAGTTATATGAATATATTTTGTGTTCTGAAGCTATAATTGTATTGCAGGAACACCAGAAGTACCTGAAAAACCTGATATACTTTTTTTTCTTTTGCTTGTATAACGTTAAGCTTATTCTTTTTGTAATTTGGTAAAGAAAACAAACAAAAAAATGAGTCTCATAGCCAGGACCTTGTATGCCATGTTTCGTCTCAGTCAGAAGATTGATAGGCAAGTTATAAACCCCTGAAATAGTGGTTTATAATGGAAATGCTGGCAGCCCTTTAACTATAGCAGCACAAGCAGTACAGCAATAAATACTGTGCTTCATCTGTAAACAGAAATTTAGGATGCAGTTTGCAGCCTTGACCTTCAGGCTCCAACTGTGTTTAGATCATTAAGATTCCATAAATACTGTAATTTACAGCCTTCTGAAGGAAGAATTTGTGTGCACAGTAAAGGACGTATTCTTCACGAAAAAATGATTGCTTCCTGTATACCCATTTGGACTCATATTCTCAACCTCAATCAAAGTACTTGACAAATTTGCTGAAGTTTTAGGCATCATTTTTAGGCTTATGTTCATCCTAATTCACAGCTCTCTGGATATATACTGTGTTTTCTGTCCTAGGACTTGAATTAAAAAGAAAGGTGGATTTTTTTCTTTATTGCAGGAGATAGGTTGCAATGTTACTTGTGCTTCTCCGCTACAAGGGAACTGATATATCTTTTCTGTATCTTTTTTTTGTGTGTGTGTGGTTTGCACACACGTTGCCATAGCTATAGTCTCTTACTGTATATATGTACTTAAAAAAATGTCTCATTCCAGTCAGTGTCATAGGGCAGTATATGGGCATAATTTCTGCATTATTCATCTATAACGAGCAGTAAAATTAATCACATTACTTTTTTTTATAATTAGATCAGGATGTTTGACTAAACTGAATCATGATTGACATTGGCAGGTTGTTCAATACAGTGTCAGTAAACACAGTCGTTTCGATGCTTATCCTTCTTACCTGAACTTCATGACATTGGACTGAAAATTTGACAATAGCACACTTTCCCCATGATACTCTATTTCCAACTGAGCTGGAAATATAAAAGTACAGCTTTCATCAGGGTATTTTAGTCTTATCCAGAAATTTAGGTGGAATGAAAAATAATAGGTTGAAAAATATTATCCTGCTCTGGGAAAGTTACCCTGGGACTTGATTTGGGGTTAGGACAAAATCGCTGAGTTTTATTGTACCTGAAGAGCTTCTTTGATTCCCAGTGGTAGCCCTGGGTAGATGTTCTATTTCTAAAATAAGTGTGTAGTAACAGAATAGGATAGCTATTGATGTTCTCCATTTATCTGTCTTTGTTTCTCATAACATAGCCATAATATTGATAATTTTGTGGATTTATAATTTTTCGTTATTTTAATGGAAAAAATCAATAGAAATTGATTTATTTAGTCTCTTACCTCTAGCCATTTCTTGCTTTCCCCTCTTGCAATATATACTAATGTGAAACATTTCTGTATATTTTCTGATTATCATATTTTGCTACTAGTAGTAATAACCACAGATTACACAACAGTGGCATATAAAACGTTTAGGCACTGTACACAGACAGGGGAAAAAAATATCTCAAGCATTTTGTCTGCTCAGTGAGGTGGTCAGCCTCAACAGAGAAAAAAAGATTCCATAAATACTGATCATGTCTACTGTCATGCTTCTGCATGCTTTTCCCTCTACAAAAATGCCTACCAAAACCCTGACACCAGCAATATCATGGACAGCAAGACATCATGTATCTTCCTGGTGTTTATAAATGCTGAGTTCAAATCTTATGTTTACCTAGACTGAGTAAGAGTGTTCCCCCTGTTCCTTGTATATTTTATTGTATTTCTTCTATTTACTGATCCCTACAGCTTCTGACAACCTGTCAGCCTAATGTACCTGTCAAGTCTGTGTGTGCACTCCTTAGGTACTTACATGGAGAGCTTCTTGTCTCTATGTTGAAATACATAGCACTTCAATGAATAATAATATTGCAGAGAAATGAGATAATGAAGAAGACTTCATGAAGTGTCAGGCACGGGACACTCAGTAAGACAGATGTCCTATCTTACTGAAGGTGTTCTGTTTCTTCAGGTCCATGTCCAATTTTCGTAGCAGTAAGTATGCAGGATTCCCTAGAATACCCTGGGATGCTCCCAACAAAATTTCCAAATCTAAAAGAGTCACTAAAATCAGGGTTTGTGTCCTTGGTCTTTAAAATCAAAGCCAAAAATAGGTGCACAAGGGCTCAGGTTGTCATTTCTGCTCCAGTTAGGTGGGTTTTACTCCTAGAGGAGCATTGCCTAAGGATCACTTATGTCCTCACTGACAGTTCTTTTAACAATTTTATAAAAGAATCAAAGTCAGCTTATGTAAAATCTTCCTTTTAAGAGTTTTTTCTTAGTGTGCCAAGTTTATCCTGTCCATTAAGGCTCTGTGCATCTGCCACCACTATTTATGGAATTGTTGCAAGGGTGATTGTGCTTTGTCTAATAGATGTAATTGAGTGAATTGAGTAATAAGTAGGTGAAAAGTAAGGATTTGGAAAGCAAGCTGTGTTTTCAACAAAGACCTCCAGCAGTTTTTATTGCTCATTTGTACTAATTTAACTTCTTCCTTTTACTTCTTTTTATCAGGGATACCCAAGTGTGAC